TTTTTTTTTTTCCTCCTACTAATAGCAGCTAGAGGGTATTTGTGATTTCTAATTTACTTAAAAACTGAAATGAGTAATCTGTCATCAATTGAGTAAAGTCAAGGGGGGTGACAATACTTATACAAACCATAGAAGCCAAGTTGTTACCTGTGAATACCAAAAATCTTAGGGGCTGGATAGATTTTTGGGGAGGGTTTAGATAACTTTCTCAAATCCTTTCAAATTCAAACTCTATTTTACAAATAGGGGATTTAACATTAAATTCGGTTCATATTCATATTTAGTATACAATATATATACATGTAAAACTCATGGATATATCATAATTATTAGTAACTAATTGTCCTGTAAATAATTATTGTACCCTTGATCAATTCAATTCATATTCATGTTAAGGGGTATAATTATCTTTTGTATCCTTAATCCCTTAACTCATCTTCCGAAACCCACCCACCTCCCAGGTTTGATGAAACCTATGATTATAGATTTAATATTTGGGTCGAGTTTGAGAACCTAGGATTGAATTTTTAAGTGAAAATTAGAGTTGAGTTATCCTGAATGAACTTATAATGACTTGAGTCTGTCAAAAAAATTATTTGGTAATAAATTCGTTTTTTATTTTACTAATAAGTACTTAAGTCTACTATTTTTTTAAATCTCAAAAATAGCATTAACAGTGTTATTATATTCAATTATAGAAACCTTAAAAGACTTTGAAAGTAGCTTTAAATTAATTTCTTAAATTAGAAATTATTATCTCTTAATTCATTCCTAAATTGAAATTCGAATTTATATTTTGNTTGAAAGTAGCTTTAAATTAATTTCTTAAATTAGAAATTATTATCTCTTAATTCATTCCTAAATTGAAATTCGAATTTATATTTTGTCTCTCGTTAAAAGATCATCACTCTAGTGCAACAAATCTTTCTCCTTAAATATCATTTCTTCTTCCAAAGAATCAAAATCAGTAAAGTTTAAAATATCAACAACAACAACAACTACCATATCTTCTATTGCGTTCTGATCATCATGAACTTTTATGTCGTTTGAAAAACTTACTCAATGTACTATTAGTTTGATTCCTATATTATTTTTTTTTTATGTTTTTGATAAATAATCCNGATTCCTATATTATTTTTTTTTTATGTTTTTGATAAATAATCCTTAAATTTTTTCAAGGTTTTATGTTATTATATTTTTTGTTGACCATGTTACTATTTTTTCTAATTGACCATATTACTATTTTTTATTGAGCATTTTATTACTTTTTCAGTATTATTTTTTTGGATACTAAAGAATTATAGCTTGTTCAATGTTTCATATTACTATTTTTTTTTGGTTGAGTATGTTACTATTTTTGTGAAGCATGTTATTATTTTTGTTTAACATGTTACTATTGTTATTTTTTTTAAAATATTAATATTGAATTTTATGATTTTTTTATGTTTAAATGTAACTATTTTTTTGTGTTTAAATGGTACTATTTTTTATGTTAACTATGTTTCATATTGCTATTTTTTTGTGTTAACTATACTAGTTATAACTCGTGCCTGAAAGCACGACAAATATAAAATTCGAACGTCTAAAAAATCGATCTTACTATATTAATTTTTTTTAAAATATATTAACTACAAATTAATTAAATATTAAATGATTAAATATATGATAGAAATGAATAGTGTGATATTTTTAGTGAGGAGATATATAAATGATTAAATATGTAATATAAATGAATGATGTGATTTGACATTTGAGTCTGACAAATGGATGATGAGTAAGGTAAGTGATTGATGATGATTTTGAGGGGGCAAATATGACTGAACACACTCCTATTTTATTGTATAGATATATGAGAGAGAAAAATTTTTAATTTTAGTCAAACTTTTAAAATTTAGGAGTTTTTAATTTTCAATTTTACTTCACTTCTACAGAAAAGGAATAATTTGGTAAAATTAACAAAAAAAAGATTTCATAGTAAATAAGTTTTCTTGACAGACTTAAGTTCAAATAAGCCCATATAAGGGGACCGTCCTCCAAATTTCTCAATTTTCAATTCAAATATGAAATTTTGGGGTCCTTTAGACTTTTTTTTTTTCAAACTCATCTTACCAAACCCTCCAATTCCCCATGATAATAGCACCTAGGAGCTTGTTTGGATGAATTTTGGAGAGGGGTTTAAATTAGTTTCTCTAAACCCTTCCAAATTCAAACTCCTCTTTACAAAAATGAAATTCAACATTCAATTTGGTTCATACTCATATTTGGTATGTAACACATCCACATGTAGAATCCACGAATATATCATTATTATTAACAATTATTTATCCTATAAATAATTATTTTACCCTTAATCAATTCAATTTATATATATATTTAGGGGTACAATTGTCTTTTGAATCTTTTATTATTTACCNATCATTATTATTAACAATTATTTATCCTATAAATAATTATTTTACCCTTAATCAATTCAATTTATATCTATATTTAGGGGTACAATTGTCTTTTGAATCTTTTATCATTTATCCATCTTTTCAAACTTACCCCTCCCTAGGTTTGACGAAACCTATAATCGTGGATTTAATCTTTGGCTAGTTACAGACTGAGTTTGAAAACTCAAAATTAAAATTTTCATACAAATATGAAATTTGAAAATCCTTTATACTATTTTTTCTAAATTCTTATTGTCAACCCCCATACCCACTTATCAAGCAGCGCGCAAGGGGTTTGGTATGTTACCAAATCCAGACCAAAAAAGCAAGGAGTTAAGTGCGCCCCACTCAACCTTGTATGTTCCTTGGTCTGCTAAGTGGCCTATGAGGCAATGTGAATTGAGAAAGACTGATACCAAAAAAGAAAAAGTAATATGAATTAAGATCTTTTCTATTATATATATATTTTATTTAATGATAAATCATTTATTTATATATAAGTGACTATTACACTAATAAATGATGATTCTTGTGTGGATTTATCATCGAATAAAATTATAATTTGTGTACCAAAAATTGCATCAAATTACTTATAATTATTAGATAAGTGAGTCTCATCGCTAGAATTAATTTAATATTTTTTTCGTTTTTAAATATCTGTCGTTTAATAAAACTAAAACATAATTAATATTTTTTCTTCTAAATTTATCCTTAATTTTTCAATGCATTAGATTTAATAAAGGCTAAGTACCTTTTATATTTTTTCCTTCCCAATACATATTGAATAAAAATATTTTAATTTTGTGTAATTATTTTTTACTCATATTAGAGTTATTTAATAGTTTATTTAATCTTTATGCAAAAATTTTAAACAAGAGATATTTAAGAGCTGAGATAATATAATTTTTAGGGCACAAATGTAGGACATAAAAAATTTCCCGTATAGGACATAGTGGGACCCCAATCCGCATTCAAGTGAACTGAGTCAACTCCTCGTCTTCTTACTTGGACGGCCAGAGCACTGAGACGCTCAACTCACTAACGGGCATTACTCTTGTCTAACTTATGGTAGGGCCCACCAAAGTTGTTGTAGATTTTGGCATGTACTGTGTGCAATATAGTACGCTTTTCCATTTGCTGTTTTACGTTTTAAATTTGCGCCAAAACCGAAAGAGCATCGTTTTCTTCGAACTGCTTTCTGATTCCTTTTGTCCATTTCTCCCACCTCCCCCTCCCTCCTTCATACTTACACATAACCCCTCTCTCTCTCTCTCTCTCTCTCTCTCTCTAAATATATATATATACACACAGATATCTACCAGAAAACACTAGCCATTCCCAACTCAGTTCCTTTCTGTCATGGGTACTCTCCTAAGGCCTACTCCACCTCTTATGCTGTCCACCACTCAGAGGTCTTATTCACCACTTTCCTCTCTTTTATTCCTTCCAAAAACTCAATCCTCTCCAAGAACACTTCATCACAAAATCCAAAGCAACAAATTTGGTAGCTTTCTTGATCTAAAACCCACATCAAAACCAGAGTCTTTAAATCTTGATGTCCCCTGGCTAAACCCCTCCGATCGGTCTCGCTTAGATCTGATCATAATCGGTGCCGGCCCGGCTGGTCTCCGTCTTGCCGAACAAGTTTCTCGTTATGGAATTCGGGTATGTTGCGTTGACCCTTCGCCGCTTTCCATGTGGCCTAACAATTATGGAGCCTGGGTAGATGAGTTTGAGGGCTTGGGGCTTGAGGATTGTTTTGACAGAACATGGCCTATGGCTTCTGTTCATATCAATGACCATAAGACCAAGTATTTGGACCGTGCCTATGGCAGAGTCGGTAGGAAGGAGCTAAAGATTAAGCTCTTGGAGGGTTGCGTTTCAAATGGTGTCAAATTCCATAAGGCCAAGGTCTGGAAAGTTGATCACCAAGAGTTTGTATCTTCAATCATTTGTGATGATGGAAATGAACTGAAGGCAAGTTTGATTGTGGATGCTAGTGGATTCACAAGCAGTTTTATCGAATATGATAAGCCTAGAAACCATGGATATCAGATTGCCCATGGAATTTTGGCTGAAGTGCAGAATCACCCCTTTGATTTGGACAAGATGGTTCTTATGGATTGGAGAGATACCCATCTGGGGAATGAGCCATATTTGCGCAATAGTAATTCAAAAACTCCCAC